AACATGTATGAATTAATTTTTTTCTGTTGAATATAAAAGAAGATATTATGAAGAATGTTGGTAACCAAAATGTTGATGGTTCCCATTGACTTCAGTAGTATTTTTTCCCATACCATGGATGACATTTATGTTATTGCAGCAGTTAGAGATCCATCTATGTTAGATATATAGGTCCAGGTCACTAAAGTCCCAAATATGTATTAATGATTGGTGAAACGTTCATGCATTTAAGAGTTAATATCTAAGTGAATGTATTCAAAGTGCATTTGTTATGTTTTTTTTTTTTTTTTTTTTTTTTTTTACCAATTAATAGATTATTGGACTAAAATATAGTACAAATAAAAGAAATAGTGATGCATGCTTAAGAAAAACACTCAATATTAAAATATGAGTGAATGTCTAAGCCTGTGTGGGCTGAACACCAATTCTAAGGAGTCTGTCTTGAAGGTTGTGGGTGTGCAAAGCATAATGGTGATGGTGGGCCGCAAAGAATAAGATGGTGAAGATGAAATATGACTATACACCTGAGCAAGCCGCACTGCATGTATTAGTTTTAGCTTGAAAATTATGGAGTTAGCAGAAGATAAAAGACAACAATGAATAAAGCAAAGGAAGTTTATAAAGAACAAAGAGATGAAAGGGAACTGATAAAACACATACAATGGTAACAGTGGCAGTACAAGAACCTAAGTGGCATTATTCAATATTTACTGAAGGGAAAAACTAACTTCTAGGTGTAGAAACATTGGGGACTTTGAAAAGGACAGATGGAGATGAAAACTAGAAGATGACAGGATTGGAATTGGCAGGGCTCTGTCCTGGCCCCTCTGTTTATTTTGTCCTTGTTTATTTAATGATTCTATGTTTGTTCTGTGAGCACACAGCTTCATCTTGTTTATGTTGGTCATGTGCTCCCCTTGTCCTGCTCCTTGTTTCCCTTTAGCACGCTCTCTCGTTTAGTCGTTGTCTAGTCCTTGTTTAACTAGTTTCTCCTTGTGTGCTTTCCTCTCTATTTATTGTGTTCCCTTGCCTCATTAGCTGTTTCCATAATTTTTTATGCACATTTTTCAGTATCGCATCAGAAACGAATGATGGAAACGCCAAATTTAAAACAAAAAACAAAAAAACAACAACACTTAATTTGCATAAAAGTTTTTACGCTTGCTTGAGGTGGTTTTTGAATTGTGTGGAAAAGGGTTAATGTGAATAATGGGAGATGGAAATGCACTTTGCGAATACATTTCTCCATGCGCATCAAAAAAGTCATGTGACTTTGCACTATGTGATGGCATAACCTGACCAACCCATGGACCGATCTTGTTGCACAGCATCTGAAATGTTGTTATGGTTATTCTGAAATGCCTGTGCAAAGTCTGTTTTCAATGTATTTCAGTATAATTGCATCCCAGAAGTGTCTTACACGACTGTGTTCCCAAACAGCAGCATCCAATTACGAAAACTATGACTGCATTTATTGTTTTGTGCAAATAATTTATTATATATGAAGATTATTATATTCAGTGCCTACTCCTACTTTTCTCAGTGATATTTAGTGCCAGTTTATCAGGAAGAGAGTATTTTGTTCTCTTTGAGTCATTGGATGGAAATTACACTTATTCGCAAATGTTTTATGCGATATTCCAATTTTGCGCTTAAGTTAAATTTGCAGGTTTGGATGGAAACCTGGCTACTGTCTTCACTGGTTTGTTTTGTGCCATATGTACACACTTTGTTGTGCTACATTCTCCAGTTGTGTTTTAGTCTTGTTATGGCATCCTTGTATCCTTACTATTGTTGTTTCCCTTTCATGGAAACTTCAAACTGCGTCCTCCAGGGGTCGCAATGGGAAACCTAGAGGACGCAGTGTCTCGTTCCCTACTCAGAGAACCATGGTTACATACGTAACCTGAGACGTTCCCTTTCATGGGAACTTCGAACTGCGTCCTCTAGGTTTCCCATAGCGACCGCTAGAGGACGCAGTGTCTCGTTCCCTACTCAGGGAACCATGGTTACATACGTAACCTGAGATGTTTTGTTCCCTTGCTTTAATTATTTATCTAGTGTTCTCATTTAGTTTTTACTTTTAGTATTTTCTGTAGCTCTTTTCCTAGTCTTCTTGAGTGTGTTACTCTTGTCCTTTGCTCTGGTTTAATTTTTAATCATTCTAGTTTTTATTTTACTGATTAGTTCTTTATCTTTTAATTACTTTAGTCTTTAACTCTTTCTTTTGTTTTATTATTGGTATTTGGAATTGTTTGACCTCTCCTTGTGTTGTCCTGGCGAGCTTACAAGCAGTTCAACAATAGGCCCTTTCGCACCGCTTTAGTTCCAGAACTAAATGTACGGTACTAAAGTATTGGGACGATTTTGCACGAACTATTTTCCAGTACCATTTAAAGGGTTGCATTCGCACCGAGAGTGTGTACTAAGAAGTGATGTAAGCCGGTCGACAGCGACGTAATTTGTGCGCGGCGTTCAACGACAGAAACAAAGAACAACATTAACAACAGGAGGATGGAGGACGCTGTGTTCGGAGCTGTGTTTTTGTTGTGTCTCGCGGGTTTCACAATAATGGACATGGAAAGTCGACGTATACGTAAAGCGATTGAAAGAACGGAAAGGAGGACTAAGAATCTCCAACGACAACTGGCAGTGCTACATTTGCTACAAGTGCCTGCACTTCAGCATCCGTCCATCTATCGCTGTTCTCCATACTTGCGAAATAAGTTGACATGCTTACAGTGTGTTTACACTGAGTTTTAAATCATGGCGGGTGAGGGCGTTTTCGTACGCGTTTGGCCAATCAATGTCTACTTACGTCACGATTAGTACCAGTTGTGCTGGTTAGACCCTGCTCTGGAGTAGGAGCTAATTTGGTTCTCGAAAAAGGCAGCCCGGTACTAAAATCGCTCCCAGTTCCGGCGGTGCGAACACGCCGAAAAGTGGGTAGTTCCACAATTAGTTCTGGTACTATGAAAATGTTCCTGCGGTGCGAAAGGCCCTATTAAGAGCATCAGCTGCAAACGGTTATGAGTGTCCTTGTTCATAATAAACAAGAACATACAAGCACATACATCCTAAAACATCATGTTCCACTTTGAGGAGCAAAATATCCACTCTGATGATGGTCACTGAAACTCGATAGCTCCTCATCATACAAATACAAACATAAGTACAGGCTCTTATGAATTGGTTTCCTTAAGAAGAGAAATCGGAGGATTGCTGGCACGGCTGTGGCACAGATGACGTGGTGCCTCAAGACTGGCATGTTTCTATGCGGGTTTCAGTCAGTCATCTCATCTGGGGGGTTGTGTTACAGTTACTGCCGTAGCTTTAAGTGAAGATCCAAGTTTAGGAACCAGGTTTACTACAGCACTCAAACCTGTGTTCGTAACAATGACTTGCTTTACACCGCTTGCATATGCAGCTGCCTTCTAAGCTGACATCTTAATAGAAATGACAACTTATAGACAGCAACTCATTTTTTTCCACTGGCCTTCTCATGGGACTGTCTTCTTTACATGTAATAATACTTTATAATTTAATTCTGTCATTTTACGTGGGTGGTTCCTAACTAGAAACAGTAGAATTTTGATATGTAGTTCCTGTTCTCATAGTTTTACTTATGATTGCCTTATGATTAGTCCATAGTGTGTTTCCATAGTTGCCCTCCAAAGCAACTTATCACTTTCACCTGTTCCTTGTTTCATCCCATAATATATTGTGGATTTAAATCCCAGTGATTCCTATGTTCTTCTTCTCATGTTGTCGTAGATAGACGCTACGTGTGCATGTTTTAGTTCTAGTTTTCCTGCATCTAGAATATCCTCTTTTCAACCTGGATTTATTTTTGTTGTGCTTGTTTAAATAAATGTGTCTACTGCATATAAATCCAACTCTCGCTTATTTCCGAAACAGTCATGTTACAATATAATAACTCTAGTTTCAGTATGTTGGATTCACACTGCACAATTTAGCCCTAATTTTGAAATTTTTTTTGTGGAAATCGCCAGCAAATGCCCAAAACCAGAGGCAAATTGTGTGTGAGAAAGTCGGTCTCTCGCAATCTTACATTATTTCCTGTATGAGTTCTCACGCGTGTTACATTGTGAAACATAGTTTGTAGACAAGGCAGAGATGTCAGCGATTCTTCCTATTGAAAAGTTGTGTAATGTGAAAATCGTGCAGTGTGCGGCTTGAGTGAATCAGGAAAAAAAAAAACGCAATCTGTAAAATAATGTGATTTAAAATACGATATCTTTTGCTGTGGTTCTGCGTAATATTCAGAACAGTGGTGCATGAAATGCTGCTGCACTCTATCAAGAACGGTTTGTGAGAAGTGTCAGAAATTCATTTATTCTGTAGCTGATTGCAGAAACTTTCTCATCAGTAACATCCTCCACAGTAATGCTGGCAGAATGAGCCCTGCTTTGCACCTGATGCTCCGGCCCTCGATAAAAAGCAAACCGCAGATGAAGTCAGACACCATGCCAAAGTTGATGTGCGCTCAATAAGCTATAATCTCTTAACTTCAGCTGGCTTAAAGACCTGTGCAAATAGGCTGCTGAAGGAGATACAGCTGCAATGCTCTTGTGTTTATCTTTTCCTTTTCTGTCCTGTCAGCATTTTTTTTTTTTTACTTAATTTGACTCCAGGTTTCGGTCCATCTAATCTGTAATTAATTAGGTGCTTGTGTGGTGGCTGTGGTAATTACACCTTTTCAAAACAGAATCCATCACTATCCAGGTTTAGGACTTCTCTGAAAAACTTTTACACAGAAAACAAACTTTTCAAATAATCCCTGGTGTTCTTGTTTACTGAATGTTTCCTGTTGTTCCATAATGACAGATAAAAACAAAAGCATCTCTACAAATATAAGGCACAGCATGTTTTGATGTAGTCTCATAATGTAAACAGCAGCTCTACGCTGCACGTATTATTTGCCGGATTGCTCGCAGAGCACATCTGTGCATTAGTAAACAAACGGAAGAAAAGCTCACCGAAGACGGTACGTGCTGGAACGGACTCCCGGTTCAACCAGAAGGAGACCTGAGACAGAATGACGGTCATTATGCAGGGGAGATACGTCTGGATCACGAAATAGCCAATTTTCCGTTTCAAATGGAAATACGTTGTCATCACCACATATTCTCCTATATAAGAAATGAGAAAAGAGAAGAGAGAGACCATAAGAAGGATGAATTATTGATGAGACAACACATAGACTAAAATATTCAGAATTTTATTTATGGATGATCATGCAGGAAGAGCAACTGAGATATAGGAGGTGGGGGTCTTGTGTTCGAGAAGAGGTTTAACTGATTGCTTCTTGTAGATCACAGCACCAACGACGGAGGATTCGAGTGTTTTCCCAGCATGGCTGGGACAGATTGGATGTTCTAACCTTAACAGTGGGAAGGAAGATATAGACAAGTGCTCAATTTGAAAGCCCTGCTATTTTGTTCTCTCTGAAGGTCTGACAGAGCATGAGGGGCTGCAATTATGTCAGATGACCAATTTGCACTGCTAAAGTCATTTAATTTTGGTTCGAAATGTTGTACATTTCCATAAAAATCGAAGGAAATCTTATTATTCAGTGGCTGGTCTATCATATATCAGGAGAAGTAGGAGACTCATGTAAAAGTCTACAATTTCTCTCCATTTCGTCTTTGCTACAGCATAGACTCAGTCATTGGTACAATAAGAACATTTCCTGTTTTCGCAGCAAATTCTGTTCTAGCACAAAGCCCCATGGCCATGTCAATAACAGTTTAGGATAGGGACCTATTCTCACTACCAACTAGTTGCTTATTAGCATGCCTATTAATAACATATTGGTTGTTTGTTAGTATTATAAAGCACATATTCTGCATGCCCATATTCTACATCCCTAATCCTACACTTAACAACTACCTAGCTAACTATTAATAAAAGCAAATTAGTCGTTTATTGAGGCAAAGGTCATAGTGAATAGTTTGTTAATAGTGAGAATTGGACCTTAAAATAAAGTGTGACTTTATTAAACCTTTTAAGAGCACATTGCATTGTATAGAAATGTTCTGGAATTTGTCAATAATGTAAGTTAGGTAATATAAGTGTAGTTTATAATGTGACAGTTGTAGCCTGTATTACTGTTACATCTTTAATTCAGCAACAAAGCTGATTTGAAATGTATCTTTGTATTGTTTGTCATATTGTTGTGTTCTGGTGATTATACTAAATGCTTCCATTGCATATTACAACGATCTTATTTCCCCCCCCACATAATCATTGTTTAAAATCACATGTTCAGCTGGAATTAAAAAAACACGAGATCTGGTTTTGAAAGACTGGCAGAAGAAGAATTTTGAAACTGTGCTTGTAAAAAAAAAAAAAAACATTCAAAGTTGTTGCTTTCAGTTACAAGCCACTTCAGAAACAAATTTGGCAATGTGCAAAAGTGAATAGTGGGCAAGATATAGTATGACTTCAGAAGATTTGTAATATAGCATATGGACTGTACTTGTTCAGTATCAGTCCTCATTCTAGAAAAGAAAACCCCAGGCATTCTGTAAAGTAGATTATTTTAATGACCGAATTTTCATTTTTAGGTGTATAAAATATTCCTTGAACAAGACCTGAGGTTGAAATTCTAATCTCTGTAGGAAAAGCAATTTTCGACTGAGTTAGCATTCTCTCCCTGCACTGGGAGGCAGAGCGGGGGACAATTAAAATGACAAAATGAAAAATAAGCAGATGCTTCTGGTGCTTTAAAAACAAACACTGGAATTTGTCTTTTCCATTTCAGCTGAGGGGGACAGTAAAATAGGTGTCTCATCTGGAAGCAAGTTAATACAAACCCTTTCTCCAGCACTGACAAACAACCAGAGCTTTTTTAAACGTGTCTTAATAGTGACACACCAATTTGTGTGTGGGGTCCTGGCATTCCTTACATTATGTGGACCAAATGTCTCCACAGGGATAGTAATCACAAGTTTTGTTTCATCTTGTGGGGAATTAATGAATTTATTTATTTAAGATCCTCATGAGGAAAATGGCTTGTACTCTAAATCACTATTTTTAAGCAGTCTTTACACAACTAAGATGACATAGAAGATGCATCTGATGCAACAAGGTCTTTAAATACATTATATATTTATTATACAACAATCTCAATTGCAATCACAAAAAAGCCCTATAAAATAGTCCTATAAATAACCCTAACCCTAAGTTAATA